TACAACCTGGTATCAGTGAGACGACAAAACGACGACACTGAGCTACAACCTGGTATCAGTGAGACGACAAAACGACGACACTGAGCTACAACCTGGTATCAGTGAGACGACAAAACGACGACACTGGGCTACAACCTGGTATCAGTGAGACGACAAAACGACGACACTGGGCTACAACCTGGTATCAGTGAGACGACAAAACGACGACACTGAGCTACAACCTGGTATCAGTGAGACGACAAAACGACGACACTGGGCTACAACCTGGTATCAGTGAGACGACAAAACGACGACACTGGGCTACAACCTGGTATCAGTGAGACGACAAAACGACGACACTGGGCTACAACCTGGTATCAGTGAGACGACAACAGAAGAAGAAAGTTGCACGTGTATTGCGGCATAAGTGTGGCGCACAGCTATTATCCTGAGCTTCTATTCTAAAGTCAAAAGGTGGCGCACCGCTCTTATCCTGAGCTCCTATTCTACAGCCCAAGGGTGGCGCACCGCTCTTATCCTGAGCTCCTATTCTACAGCCCAAGGGTGGCGCACCGCTCTTATCCTGAGCTCCTATTCTACAGCCCAAGGGTGGCGCACCGCTCTTATCCTGAGCTCCTATTCTACAGCCCAAGGGTGGCGCACCGCTCTTATCCTGAGCTCCTATTCTACAGCCCAAGGGTGGCGCACCGCTCTTATCCTGAGCTCCTATTCTACAGTCAAAGGGTATCGCACCGTTCTTATCCTGAGCTCCTATTCTACAGCCAAACGGTGGGCGCACCGCTCTTATCCTGAGCTTCTAGTCTACAGAGAAACATACAAACTGTACGCTTTCTTAATCACTTTTGATATATTTTTTTTTTGAGAAAAAAAAAGGGGGGGGGGGGGGGGGGCTACCTCACCACATACAAAGTATTAATAGCGCTTTTCGCACATGTCCCAGGCAGTAGGAAATGGCACAGTTCTCTCAGAGCTAAAATAGTAATACCAAACGTTGATGTATTACAAATAGGATTGCATCCTCAGCCTCTGGCCATATTTTTATTGGTCACTGCGGGAGGTGGGGTGGGGGGGGGGGTGGGGGAGAGAAACAGCAGGCCAAACAAAAATGGTGAAGGGAGGGGTACGTGGGTTAGAAAATGAAAAGACAAAAAATCCATAGTCTATTCCGATTTTTGCGCTATTTAATGTGTTGCTCGCAGGGTCAATAAAATGTCTGGCTTGCGTTAACAGGGGAAACCAGGTTCACAAAAAGAGCTGTGCGCCACACTTATGCCGCAATACACGTGCAACTTTCTTCTTCTGTTGTCGTCTCACTGATACCAGGTTGTAGCCCAGTGTCGTCGTTTTGTTGTCTCACTGATACCAGGTTGTAACCCAGTGTCGTCGTTTTGTTGTCTCACTGATACCAGGTTGTAGCTCAGCGTCGTCGTTTTGTTGTCTCACTGATACCAGGTTGTAGCCCAGTGTCGTCGTTTTGTCGTCTCACTGATACCAGGTTGTAGCCCAGTGTCGTCGTTTTGTCGTCTCACTGATACCAGGTTGTAACCTAGTGTTACGGTTTTCTGTTTTTGTCTTGTGCTTCTCGGGTGGCTTGAGTTTTTGCAGGTTTCGGCTATACTATTTATCCATCTCTTTCTTTGTCTTCCTCTCGCCTTCCTTCCAGATGTTCTACTGTAAAAAGTCTCATAAGCAGTCGGGTCTGGCTGCATTCTTACTAGATGGTTCAATCATTTCATGCTCTGTCTCTCACTATAATACAGACATAGTCTTATTCCAACTTTCTTTCTAATGCTGGTATTCTTAACCCTGTCTAGTCTAGTGTTGTTAGTGACCTGGCGGAGACAGCACATTTCACGTGTAGTTACTTTCTGTTCTAGTGCCCTATTCATTGTCCTTGTCTGGCATAAAGAAGAGATAACGATGCTAATCATTATTTGCTGTTTTGCTGGGAGGGAGACATTTGAGTGTCTAAGAAGGGGAGCTAACTAATAGGTGACAGCATTGGGCTTCTGTACTCTGGCTTCTATCTCTGTCGCATCTGTCATCCGCTGTAAATATGTTTCCTAGAGATTTGAGGAAACCCCATACACTAAACCAAACTTAATAACCTAAAGGGAACTGAATGATCTTCTTAGAGACCTGAATTTATCGAAGAATAAGGCGGAGCTTTAAGGTTTTATATTGCAACACTGGAATCTCCTTGCAGATGATGTTAGAATGTCTGTGTATAAGAGTCGCAAGGCAATGGGAAAAAACGGACGAGGCTTTCAAATATCTCATCCGAAAGTATCAAAGACTGAGTGAAGCTAAAAAAAAAAAAGAGAGAGATTTTCAAATGCGCCTTTCAAAAACAGTATATGCGAACCTGAAAAATGTTTTTTTTTTTAATATATAATGTGTTTTATGTATCATTGGATGTTGAAAAAAAAAAAAAAAAAACAATTAATTGCGTACATAAGCAAATGTTTTGTAATGCTAAAGTAGAAACACTAACTGTCACACAAAATAATAAAGTATACATACATTTTTTGTCTTACTGTAATGTAAATTCATAATTAAAACAAAAACCAACTGGTGAATGAAATCAGCACTTCAATATCAAAAAAGGATAAAAATAAAAAATAAAATTAAACAGACAATTTATTGACTAGTGTGATCTAGAAGTAACCAACATCGGGTGCATTCGCATGTTACAGACAAAATTGTGTATCTGTTGTCACATATATCTGGACATGCTTACGCTATACTTATTAAAGGGTCTATGTCACGGCCTTCGATGGAATCTATGTGCACACAATACTTTGTAGTCTGCTTAAAGCTAAGAGGGGATTTAACGGTTTTCAGCTAAAATTATGATTCATCTTTAGTAAGCTACATGTAGACTGATTATTGCATTACTAATCTAAGTATGTATGTCAAGTTAGCCACAGGCTACTGATTACTACTACTTATTACTCATCAAACCATTGCTGGTATTTATCAAATATTAATCTGTAGTCAAAAGGTGTCGTACCCTCTTGTTAGCTGTATCTATTTTATGTGTAGTATCGTCGTCTTGTCTACTACAATCACGCCTATTATTTCTTTTAACCACACACACACGCACAAACACACACAGACACACACACACTCACGCACACATATATAAACAGTGACCGTAGTTAAATTTGACTGGTTCAGTTATAGATCAGTAGATATGTTTCTTCATTTGTCCATGGTCTACAGCTGCCCCAGTTCCACAGAATTATCGATTTATGCAGCATTATCTGTGATTTCGGAGAAGTAGCACAAGTATAATCACCCTCAGATTGCCAGCATGCCTCCCACCCCAAATCTGTGGGCTAATTCTGACACATATTACGCCTAATTATTATCTGTCACATTTACTGACCATATACAAATAGAGAGACGTATATCCATTAGTCGTCAAGTGGTTATACTCAACACTCATGTGAACTTGTATGTACTGAATAAAAAAAAAACACACACGCCGCTGATGCACACTGGGCTAATCTACGATCTTGTCTGTAGTAATCTTTTATTTGTTTCTTTGTTTCACTTGTTTACTTCGTTTACTGTAAATCGGTGCAGCTAGTTTACTGTTTCAAATAAACCCCTCTCAGCCTGTACTCTTGATGTTAACTGTTGCCACTGCAGATACTGCTGTTATTCTCACGAGGTTTCACAGTTAGAACAGTACTTGGTTTTAAACAATAACCATAAATGTGAAATCCACTGCAACTACGGAAGCAACGACAATAATATTACTATTTGATTTGAATGATTTATATCTAGTTTTATAACAATAGATTTGACAATGCAGTTTGGTTTGTGTGATGTATCTGTAATTCGTTGACGTCAATTTGACGCGTATGAGCTACGTCTAGTTAAATGCAGGAAAGATTAGGCAATTCTACTTGATTTATTAATACGAAGATATTGCAGTTATAAGTGACTTGTGTGATGTATGTCTCATTTATTCATACATAGATACAACAGTTATAATTGACTTGTGTGATTTATGTCTAATTTATTGATACGAAGATATGACAGTTATAATTGGCTTGTGTGATTTATGTCTAATTTATTGATACAAAGATATGACAGTTATAGTGACAGTTATAATTGACTTGTGTGATTTATGTCTTATTTATTGATACGAAGAAATGACAGTTAAAATTGACTTGTGTGATTTATGTCTAATTTATTGATACGAAGATATGACAGTTATAATTGGCTTGTGTGATTTATGTCTAATTTATTGATACAAAGATATGACAGTTATAGTGACAGTTATAATTGACCTGTGTGATTTATGTCTAATTTATTTATACGAAGATATGACAGTTATAATTGACTTGTGTGATTTATATCTAATTTATTCATACGAAGATACAACAGTTATTATTGACTTGTGGGATTATGTCTAATTAACTGACAAGTAGATATGACAATTATATTCTTTGAATATGATATATGTATATTTACTTACAGGGGGATTCAACCATAATAATTGACCTGTATGCTGAATGTCTAGTCTACTAACAGGCCGATACGACAAGTAATACATGTTAAAAGCAGCTGAGATATAGGTGCCAGTGCTGAGTATATATCACAGTTGTCGCCGCACTAGTAACACACATGTCTCACGACACACTCTGATGTCACATTACTAGTTTATTGTAACAAAAATACAGCAATCTGAAAACTAAATCTACATACTACAAAGACAAGTATTTTCAATGAAATATCCGATACAGGCAAGGGCAAATCCTGAGTGTCCTTAAAACACCATTGTATAATTACCTTAACAAAGTGGTGCCCAGTCGTTGGCAACTACTGAGAGTGGACATGTTTTGTACAGTATCCATGGAAACGTTATAGTGAACTCACTGCAGTCTATGCCTCAACGTCAGTGATTGCCCTTGCTTCAGAGTCTATTCTGAAGTTACCTGCCTGCACGGGAATATTGTTGCAGTAGTAACACGTATGTGGATGCGTTAGACTGGCGTCGTGTCCTGCTGTCCGTTAGGAACCTTGCCTGAGTCCAGATCGTGCATTTCATGTTCCAGAGGCGGCATTTCATCTACTGAATAGTGGTTGACAATTCCGGCTCCCAGGCTGTCTCCCATCACATTTGTCATTGTGCGGAACCGGTCCCTGGGAAAAAAAAAAGATTTGCACATGCAATCGAAATTTCTGACTATAATACTATAATATTTTTGTTTTAATTCAACCTTGCTGAAAAGGGACGCTTAGCCACGTGTGAAATGCAATACGAGTGGAGTTATCACATACATGGCAAAAGTATCTAGGGTAGTGTGTATACGTCAACCACACACGCAAACGTTCCCTAATCGACGATCACGACGATTCTAGGTTCCCTTCATAGAAGACTGTACATGACTCCGTATCCCTGTATAGACTGATGGACATGGGGTGCAGCTGCAAGAAATGAACATTTCACTAAGGGGACAAAACGTTTCATTAACTAATACAGAACAGGCGTCATCAGTCGTTTTACACTTGTGGAGCTTTTGAGGAGGAGATCGGAGCACCTATGGATCTATCCGGAGTGCTGTGATGATAATTCCTAATAATGACTAATCACTAAGACTTATGTAGCACAGGTACACAAAAGGTGACACAGTAGCACCGCCATGGCCACACGCACCCCTTTTTTGTTTCAAAATATGAAAGAGTGAAATACTGCATGGCATTGAAATCCTCTGACTAATAATGTCATTAAATATGTATGTATGAGAATATATGTATGTATGTATGCATGTGTGTGCGTGTGTGTATATATATATATATATATATATATATATATATATATATATATATATATATATATATAAAGTCCACATCACAGGCCAGCAAGATGGGCAGAATATTTTAAAGAGCCAGTCAACCCTGAAACGAGGTAGATAACATCAGTTTTGTGCCTTAAAGCAGTGACAAACATGAACCACTTTTTAACATTAGAAGTAACAGCTGTTATACAGAAGAGACATAAAAACAAAGCACCCGGATTAGATAGAACAACTACAGAAGCTATTCAAGCATGTGGTCAAACTGGCATCGAATGGCTAAGGAAAATTTTAATACAGCATGTGAAGAAAGGCAGGAATTGCCAGACTGGCAGCATGAAACCAGTTTGGAAAAAGAAAGGTAATACAAGAGACAGCATACTGAGGTATATCACTCTTGAGCCTCATAGGAAAAATGTATGCAAAGTTCTTAAAACAGAGAGTTAGACCTACAGGGAAACAGCACCTAGTACATCACAATTTGGTTTCAGGAAAGGTACTAACTTGCACAGATGCATTATTCAAATTAAGAGAAATTTGCGAGAAAAACATTGAATATGACGATGGACTGAATATTCTGTTTGTAGATAAAAATAAAAGGTTTTTGATAAAGTAGTCATATACACTAAGAAGAAACTCCACAGGGGAGCATGTACAGCAGGAGTCTACCAATCATCAGTAGAAGTAATCTCTCGTCGACAAATGTTTCGTCCCACGAGCTCCTAGACATTTTCAGAAATTGGGCCCACCTCCTTCTCCTGCTGCACGTATTGCCGGATGTTCTAGGACAGGGACAAGACGAAATTGGTGACTGAGCAAAAGGTACTGTGAGATTCGAAGTGTATTTACATAGTCTCTGCGGTAGCATAATTAGAGCAGTCAGCTTACCTGGACGACCAAGTGAGAAGCTTACCGTTGATTTATCGGACACATGTTAGATTTTGTTGGCAGATGGCAGAGGGACACTGGCAGACAATTCGGACACTATGGACTTTAAGGGATAAGACTTTCTTTTCCACTAGACACCAGGAACAGCCCACCGAGGTCTATCCCCACGACGTTCCGTTGTGCCCAGAGCCCTCTCGACAGCCTCGCCCAGTTGTTTCACTGCTCGTTTGAGCTCATTTCCTAGCAAACCCAGTTGTTTAATCGCATTGTACATAGAAGTGGAAACGAAACCTCTTGTGCCTACCTCGACGGCAAAGATTCGTACTGTGTACGTTTCGTCTCTCCTCAGACCAGCCGCTAAGTCAGCGTACTTCTCAAGCTTGTACATGTGGCTTTCGTCCATTCGCGACTCATAATGCACGGTCAGCTCGGTCGGGATGAGTTGACGTTTCTCCACAGAGTGGAGGACTATGTCGGGTCGCAGGCCAGTCTTCCGGATTAACTCTGGGTACTTTTCTTGACCAGGCAGGTCAACCGCCAGTAACCAGTCCCTCGCACAGTCAAGCATCGATGGAGAGTATGCGACCTTGCTGTATTTACCTTTATAAATCTGCTTAGCCTTGAGCGGACGACGGTAAGACTGGCCCTCGCATTGGCCCTCATCCTAGCTTGGTCCACAAAGGTCGCTAACTTTTTCAGGACCTTGTTGTGGCGCCATGAAAATCTGCCTTGACCTAGGGCTTTCCTGCACAATACGTGCTCGAGGGTCTGCTTGGCTCTACACAGCGGGCACGTAGGGTCGTTAGTCACACTCTACTTGACCATGTTGACACTGGACGGTAGTACATCGTAGGCAGATCGTACGATAAAGCTCAGTCCCAGCTGGGCCATTCGCCAGATCTCACCCCATGTGAGTACTCGTGGCAAGGCGCTATCCAGGCCAATCCACTAGCCTTGCTGCGACTGTTGCGCGGCTTTTTGGAAACGAACCACGTTTTCGGTGTCCCTAATCTGCTGTATCCCCATGTCACGGCCTCTTTGACTGTGGCTTTGGACCACTAACTAAGCCTCGACGGTCGGTTTGAGTGTAACCCATCATCTCTTTCAATTTCAGTGCATCTTGGGCAGATTCACTCGCATCTAGGACCTTCCATTTCACGCCTGTCTTTGGAGCGGGCTGGACAGCAGTGACAGTGGGGTCTGAAGACTCCCGCAACATCATGGCGAGTCTTACTTTGCTAACTTTAAACTCTTCGGTTATTGATTTGAACGGTAGTACCAGCTTCGTCTGTTTACAATACAGAGCCACATCAGTCAGACAAGGTGGTGCTCCCAACCATTTCCTCGTGGCTGTGTTGATTTTGCGCTCCATTGTCTCCACTGCCGTCATCGTCACTTTGTAGACAAGCAGCGGCCAACATAAACTAAAGAGACCAGACCTTAAACTTTCTGATTAGCCCTCAACGCTCGATCGCGAGCAGGCCTGTAGCCAGTGACTCGTGAATTCGCCAGACCTCCGCTCTGCCAGACAGATAACTTCGAATCGTAAACGCGACCAAGGCTCTTCACCGGTTCCTCTAGAACCGTGGGGGTTCCGATTCCTTGCCACCGTGAAAATGATCGCCGCCACCTTGCCTTTCAGGATTGACACACTCCTCGACTTCTGCTGTTTGAATTGCATACCGCTTCACTGGACCACCTCGTCCAATCTTTTCAGAATCGTGAGGGCAGACTCCTCACTGCCCGATGTAGTAGAGCCACCTCCGATCCGGTAGTGTATGTGCAGACGGTACAACAAACGGCGACCAGGACAAGATGCTGTTGATGAAGTCGCCGTTACCCAAGACACAGGCAACGACGACCCAGGTTCCACAGATTCCACAGCGTTATAAAATTTTCCCCACTGATGTCAACACAGAGGCCGTAAACAGCTGCCAGAGCGATGACCGTTGGGACCATCAAGCCGAGATACAGCTACATCCCATCTTATTTGACCCTACATCCAGTGACTGACAGACAGTAGCCAGCCGAGACGCCCACAGTGTAAGTTCCGATGCGGCCCCACGGCTTGATGAAATAGTCTTGGAGCCAGAGGGATATCTTCAAGTTATCGTTTGCAGTATTTTCGGTGACTAAGGTGGCAGGCCACTGATTCTGGGTCGAAAAAACACGAATCGTGATCCAACTGGTAAGCAGGAAACACACAGAGACAGCCACGGCGATAATACCATTAAAGTAGAATGGGGTGATTATCAAAGGGCACACAAGGAAGAACTGCATATTACTGGCCAGGCATCAGGTATGACCTACACACATTTTCTCAGCACGTACGAAACTGCTGACATAAAGGAGATTTGTCTACCAGAACTTCCGCAATTGTTCCTATCCACTGACTGAACCGGACACTACAAGGCTCCAGACTACTTGTGCTGCATGAGACCCAGGACAATTAACTGTGTCAACATGTACACAGGAGTTGGTCAAAGAGGCTTTCTTCTGAAAATTGTGTAATTGTCCACAGTTTGTGTACTGCTGTAGAAACCGGTTATAAACAGCATATTTACACCAACACTGTGCTACCAGTGCATGTCTTGAACACTATTAAATGCTAAGGTAAGTAAAATAAAAACCTGTTAAATGAGACGCCGGAGAAAAGCCGCCCGAGTAACCATTCAAAGCAAAGAAATTATATTATCAGACAGACTGTAAGAACAACACCATGCAGGAAATTCATTGAGAAACAGAAGATCAAAAGTTTGGACATTTATTAAGAATGCAGCCAGAAGAACTACTAACGAAGGCACTACACATGAAATAATCTGAAGAAATTCTAAAGGCTGCCCTAGGAGAATATGGATTAATGACATTAAAGAGCTTCTATATTGACACAATGACAATAGCCAATGCTGTCCACCAAGCAATATATCACAAACTGTTCTTTCAAACGGCTCTAAACGGCAAAAGTGGAAATTGATGATGATATATATATATATATATATATATATATATATATATATATATATATATATATATATACACACACACACATATAGATAAAAGTCACGGAAACTAGGTCAGAAACTCTTAACACTGGACCATACAGTTAATACCAGTTTTATGGAAATATGTATGCGAGTGCGTGCGTTTATGTGTGTGTGTGTGTGTGTGTGTGTGTGTGTGTGTGTGTTGTATTGTTGTTGATGTTCTTTACCAGTTTGTCGTAATGTTATTGCAGTAATTGTTAACATGTTGCCTTTTAACACAGTCATGAATGAGTAAGTTCGGTTATTAGGTGGAAAAAAAACAACTGTTAGCGTGATATTATGACAATGTCCTGTACGTTCTGCGTCAAACTATTCTCACTGATTAGAAAAAGCAATAACCTCGATTGTAATTTGAAAAGATGGGCCCGTTGGAAAGAGACAGTTTCTAATTTCACAATGGGATATACAGTGTGGG